TATATATATATTTAAAAGCAAGTACAGCTAAAATTAAATTCTAAGAAAGTATGAATTGTACAATGAGAACGAATTAAAAGCCAAAATTAACTTTTAAAGACTTACATTTAAGCACTGATATTTTGAAAATAGTGTATAAGGATGTAGCGGTGGGGATGGTGGCCGGGAAGTAGTGGTCTAGTGGTCTTTGGTGGTCGGGAAGCGGTGATGTTGGTCCGGCAGTGTAGGAGGCTCGGCGGCGGGGGGGGGCGGGGGGTCCGGAAGCGGCGACGTTGGCCCGTCGATGGAATTGGCTCGATGGCGATGGCTGGGTAGCGGTGATCTAGAGGCGGCGGAGGCCGGGTAGCAGCGATCTGACGACGCCTAGTTGGCAACGGTTTAATGATAGTAGAGAGCTTAGGTACCCTTAAGAGCTTGGATCTCCCTTCACCCTTCTCCTCATAGTCTAGGTCCCTATTCCACATTCATGAAAAGAATTGTGGTCTATTTATAAATTTTATGAGTAGCTTCTTCTAAAAATACTACAGGAATTTGGACTGTTCCATCAGATGACTCGTAGCAATCCCTTTGATCAAATGGTGTTATATAGGCATTGAGTGTCTTAATAATGTCCAATTCAAGTGAGCGTGTTGGATTCAGTTCGACGAGACACTCAATTTGACAATAATATTTTCAGTTTTGGAATACATTTGGCCATTGAATTGCCCATCTAAAGTCTCCAATTATTCTTAAACTGCTTGATCTGATTCTAATCGAACTAGTTTTGGCTTCCATGGCGTGGCCTTGACGAGACAGTCAATTTGGCTATACATTGCATGAAATCAGAGCTTGGATGATCATGAATTCGCATTTAGAATATTTTCTCGCTCAAAATGCTTTGAGATTCGTGCATGATAATAATTTTTCAAGTAGGTATCAATAATATTGTCAAATAACAACAAAATAACATTTGAAAGAAGGGTGAAATATGAAAAAAAAAAAAGGATAGAAAGGATAAATTATGCATCAAAGAAGACACTCATAAATAGAAAGTACTTCTCCCCAAAATAAAATAGAAGTAATGTTCAAACAAGCACTTTATTAAATATTTTTATAAAAAAGTAATCATTGTAGAAAGCACGCATTATGCAAATTCAAAAGCAAAATATTTTATCATGAGTGCTGATTAAGCAAAATTAAAAGCATGTGTGCTTTTTGTGGCTATTATTTTAGCAAAATGTGCTTCACATATATGATGTATGTTTCTAAAACTTGAAAGCAAAAAATAAATCATACAAAGAAAACATTCAAGGTTCAAAGGCCTAATGTTGAAGTAATCAAAATCTCTCTCTATCTACTTGATTTATAGACATGCAAATGATGAGCTACATTTTATTTATTATGAGTCACATGTTCTACACTAGACATGAAAATCATACCAAATATTGGACCAGAGAAAGAGAGAAGTTGGACAAGAAAGAAGTATGAATAAAAGCTAGCTTTGTGAGTGCTTTTGGGACCCAACTAGTGAGTTCTTGTTGAGCTTGGTCTGATGAGTCATCTCTGGACTCAACTAGTGAGTAGGTCTTGAGTTTAGCTTGTTGAGTTGTACTAGTACCCAACATAGTGAGTCTACCTTGAACTCAAGTAGGCTAGCAACTATTTATTATTATTTTTTTTTGCTTAGTAGTTTATCAATTATTTTATATAGATAGAAAAATAATAATAAAAAAAAAAAGAACAAGAGAATGATAGAAAATATGGGTTTTATGCCAAAATAGAGTACTCAATATTTAGCTCAAATATTTGAATAAGTTTTATACATTCCCATGATGAGTGCATTACCTCTAAAAAGTATAAATATATGTACATAGATTTAAGAAAAGTTTGTATAAGATTATGTTTATAGATTTGACAGTTTTCTCATTTTTTCTATGCCAACATGATTTAATTTCATATAAATGAATTATCATAGATTGTGGTGAAACGTTTATGAATCCCCACTGTCTCCATATTCTTCTTCTTATTATTTTGCTTCTTCGTTCCTTCTTCTTCTTCTTCTTCTTTCTCTAATTGAGCTCTATAACTGAAAGGATTTAATTGAGATTCTATGAAGAAAACTTGATACTTCAATGTCTTTTGATGGAGGATATCCAAGGAGAGATAGAAGGTGAAGAATTATGAGGGATGAAGATAAAGATACACATCTCCAAGAAAAGTAAGAACATCGAGGTGTTCCCCTCCATTATTAAGAAAAATTTGATTATGATTTTAATTAGTGAGTTCCCCAAAACATTAATCACCCTCAAGCAAGCCACCAAGAAGTTGATAGTGTTAGTGAGCCTAGTCAATCTATGTTTTTGAGTAATTCTAGCGATGTTGTATAATTTTTTCTAAGCTTCCATCGATGACGATGTTCATCTAGAGATGGAAGTTGCACTGAAGGCCAAATGGTCAACTGGTGAAATGATAGTGATTGAAAAAGAGGTATTTTTATTTTTGAGTCTAAGTATCACTTTTAATTAATCTTTCACTAAAGTGATTTATAAAATCTTAATGCTTCATTAGCAGCGCATGTCAGACTTTCATCAACTTTACGTTCACAATCAGATAATAAATTGAATATATATCTTGAATTTCATATTCCAATGTAATAAAGTCTCTCATATATGTTATGGTATGTTCTCGTCCAAATTTATCATGTGTGCTCAGTGTAGTTAGCAGATATATGAGTAATCTGGGTAAACATATTGGAATGCAATTCAGTGGATTCATGTATCTATGTGGCACAAAAGATGCTAATTGTTTGCAATTCGATAGGACTATAAATAGACTAATTAGCTATGTTAATTCAAATTTTACTGGAGATCTTGATAGAAGAAGATCACTTACAAAATACATTCAGATATTGGTGACTGTGCGATTAGGTGGAATGCTACTTTATAGATAACATTGTCATAATCTACAATTGAAGCTGAGTACATGAAAATTATTGAAGCTTGCAAGGAAGTACTTTAATTAAAAGGTTTATTTGAAGTGCTTAGTGAAAATTTGAAGATCACCACATTGACGTGTGATAGTCAGAGTGTTATTCATCTTAATAAAGATCAAATGTTTCATGAGAGAACTAAGCACATTGATGTTCGA